GGAATTTCCAACTGAATCAACTAAAATCATGATTTTTGTGGACTACAATTAAATGTTAGGCATGATATTCTCATAAAGCTTCAAATGGTGGAAAGAACACTAGTCTACTATGACCACAAAGGTCTCTTCCAAATTTCAACCTTTGATTTATGAACCTAGACTTACTTCCTTCTCCTTCTTTTTCTTCTATATACCTCCACTTCCCTCTCAACTCCATCCCCATTCCTGGAATCCTCCCCAGCTAGATTTTTTTCATGCTAGTAATTTCCAGTCACAGTGTACTCCTCGCCAGTTCCTGACATGTTCTTGCCTGAGACATCATGAGTGGAAACACAATCTGATATGCTTGAACAAGACCATGCCCCTTACTCCACTGAGGTGAGCTACCTTGACATAAGAATGATTCATAGTTTTATTGAAATAGGAAAAATGATGACAGTATTGCTGAGCTGGGTCCATAGGAAACAGCATCTCATAGAGCTAGTGAGCCCTTTCCCATGGCCTCCAATTTCCTCATCTCATAGCATGAAGAACATAATACCTGAGGAGACAGCAACCTCCTTGGTTTTATTTTTGATTGCCCATTTCCATTTGTCTTTGACTGTACTGTCAACCTCTTCATTCTTGACTGTCCCTATGCCTAAAGATCTTATGCCCTCTCCCATGTGTAAGTTAAAACACAACTGTAACAAAGTTCTACTACTTTTAGTATTCCTAGCCTCTTCTATAAAAATTTAAGTTTCCAAAAGCAGCTCCAATAAGCCAGGACAAAAATTTAAGGTAATATTTTATTCACCAGATTTGGCTCTGAATGACTTGGTTATTTCCAAAAACTGAATCCAACCTAAAATAGGAAGTTTTGCAACCAGTAAGACTATAGAAACAAACATGTAACACACTGTCCAAAAGAATTCCAAGATGACAACACTCATTTGACTGCATCCATTTTTTTTTCTTTTTAATCACAACTCAGAGGGACTGAATTTGGCAGTTTCCATTTCCAAAAACTATACCTAATTTGAATCATATCCACCATATTATATACAGAGAATGAATGGGACATTTCAAAATGACAATATTCTCTTTCTTCCTAAGATAGTAACTCCATTTTCTTCCTATTTGCCAAATTCTGAGTTCTAGAAACAAAGATGAATTGCTTGCCATGATTTCCATAGTTTTAAAGTAGAGAGGCTCTCTAAATCATGACAGCAAGCAACCTTAAAAATTCTACAATTTATTCAGCTCCTCTGAATAGCATGAATGAAAGACATGAAATCCAATTTCACCACATTTTGAAAAGCTACTAGAGGTACCATCAAAGAGGTTTTAACAAATTTTTAAAGTAGTTCTCTATGTGTGAGACTCCTGTTAGGCAGTAGGAGATACAGACCAAAACAAAAATAATCTCTGCTTTAAGGAGTTTGAGTCTGGCAGTGAGGAACAGAGATAAGGGATAAGCTGAAACAGATGTGAATGAGCTGGGAATAATTACCAATACTTGGGGGAATTTTTGCCTCTGCTTTCCCTCAAAACTGTTACTCCCACTAAATGCAAGCAGGGACCCAAGTTCCAGGTGCACAATAGCTAATTCATTTATGACATCAAATTCCTTTGTTACAAAAATCATGCAATCATTCTGACTGGGTCCACTACAAATTTATGTTATACAACCTCAACCTCCAATACTGTCGGGTAATGCTACTATACCTCCTTTATCCCACTCTCCAGGGTGGCTCTTCCAAAAACCTTTTCATTCCTGCTGAAACCTCCTATGACACCCCATCCCTCCACTCTCTCAGGTAAGAGCCTTGCCTCATTATTTCATTGAAAAAAATTGAGGCTATTCACAGCATGCTGCCTCTTCTTCATTTCCCATTACTTAAGTGACTTCTGCCACTTATCTCTTCCCTCACCCATTACCATTTGATGAGATGGCTTTACTCCTTACCAAGGCTAAGCCTTTTTACTTGTTCAAGTGATCCCATTCCACCCCATTTCCTTCAACAGAATGCCCCCAGTCTTTCCTCCATCTCTAATGGTTCATTTCTTACTGCCTACAAACATGCCCATGTCTCCCCCATCCTGAAAAATCCCTCATTTGATCCTTTCACATTTGGTAACTATTGTCCTATATCTCTTCTGCCCTCTTCTGCTAAATTCCTCAATAAGTCCATCTACAGTAGGTGTGTGTCCACTTTCCTCTCATCTCAAGGAGTTCTTATAATGCAGCTCCCAACCTTATCATTTCACTGAAACTGCCCTCTTCAAAATTACTTTTAGTTTATCTTTTAGTTGCCAAATCCAATGGTCTTTTCATTACCTACCTTCCCTTTGCCTTCTCTATAGCCTTTGACACTTGATCACTCTCTTATCCTTGATACTATCTTCTCTCTAGGTTTTCAGGACATTGCTCTCTCCCGATTCTCCTCCTGACTACTCCCCTTCTGTCTCCTTTGCTGGATCCTCTTCCAGATCATGCCCTCTAATTGTAAGTTTCCAGAAGGGTTTGGTCTTGGGTCTTCTTCTCTTCTCCCCAAAAATAACTACACTTGGTGACCTAATCAGCTTCCATGGAAATAATTACCATCTCTATGCTAAAGATTCTCAAATCTCTCTATCCTGCCCCAAACTCTCTAGTGATCTCCAATCTCATATCTCCAACTGCAGTTCGGGCATTTCAAACTGGATGTACAATAGACATCTTAAACTCTGTATGTCCAAAAGGGATTCATTATCTTCCTTCTAAACTGCCCTTCCCTCACCTTTCGTATTACGGAAGGCAACACCATCCTCCAAGTTCCTCAGGCTCACCACCTAAGAGTCATCCTGTACTACTCACTCTCTCTCACTCTCCATATGCAATCTGTTGCCAAGGCCTGTCAATTTCATCTTTGCCACATCTCTTGTATACATCCCCTTCTCACCTAACAATCCCACCACTCTAGTCCCGGTCCTCATCAACTCATACCTTGATTATTGCAATAGCCTGCTTCAAGTGCCTCCCCACTATCCATTCAACCATTAAAGGGATTTTCCTAAAACACAGATCTGACCATCTCACCCCACTCCACCCCCCACCCCCCACTCAATGAACTCCAGTGGCTCCCTATGTTTGATCAAATACAAAATGCTCTATTAGCATTCAAAGATCTTCATAACCTAGCCCCACCTTCCACCTTCTTACCTTTCCAGTCTTCTTACACTTTACTCCCTGCCACATACTCTTCCTCCCAGTGACACTGCACCTCCTGGCTGTTATACAAACAAGATACTCCATCTTTCTACTGTAGGTATTTTCTCTGGCCCACCGCCTGGAACACTCTACCTCCTTCACTCCCCACTTAAAAGAGTCCAAACTAAATCCCATCTTTGCCTTCACTCTATTAATTATTTCCTATTTATTATACATACATACATATATAGATTATATATATATCTATATATATCGTACTCTGTAGATATTTGTAAGCTCTTGGAGGGTAGGGACTGTCTTTTGCCTCTTTTTGTATCCCCAGAACTGTGTCTGGAACATAATAAATGCTTACTGATAGAGAGATAAGGATTGTAAGATCATAGATTCAAAGCTACAATAACTCTTAGAAGCCATCAAGTTCAACTCCCTCATTTTATAGATGAAGCTGAGGCCTAAGGAGGTCAAGTGACTGGCTCAGGGTAATACAATTAGTGTCCGATGCAAAATGTGAATCGAGGTCCTTCCCAAGGTCTCCAGGCCCAATGCCCTGTCCAATAAATCATGCCACCCACTCAAGATTAGAAATATTCCAATGGAATACCTAGCTCGAGTCACACTGCCCTAAGTCTGCTAGATCACTGACTTTTAAGATCCCTTGTAGCTTTGAATGTGTTGATACACATTCTGACATTACAGGAAATTCAAAAAACACCAAACCAAAATAGTTTCACTATTAGCATTAAAACTGATGTCCCACGAATCAGCCCAATCCCAGTTCAATTACAACTTAAATTTTAGATTCACCGAATTTAACTTTCCTCTACAATGCTCTGGACCCAAAGGGATAACTTTAGAGCCCTAAGATGGTCAGCCAAGAACATTTAAGTTGAGCAATAGGGGTATTTGCTAAATGCCGGTGCTTCCGATTTTTCACTTGCTCCAAACGAAAGAAAAATCTTTAAAGGAGTTTACCTTGGGCAATAAAGAGAAGGGAGGCATGGGACTAGTAATAGTAAAAAAAAAAAAAAAAAAAAAATACATATTATATGTGTGTGTGTAGGGACTCTGACACGTCTGGATTCAAATGGGCATATTAAGTACTAAATGAACACTAACAAGAACGATATTCCAGCTTTTACACTAAAAGCTGTCGCCTGCTCAATTCCTAAGTGTTCAATTTAGCAAATAGGATTAGAAGAGTTAACAAACTGCGCCTCTGAACGTGGCAAAATAATTCAGTATAAGTGGCAAGAGAAGGAAAATTGCACTTGAAACTACTCAGTTCTTCTGCTCTCTGGACGGGGGCCAGAAAGGTCACCAAGAGGAAAAGTTTACAAAGTATATGGCTCCAAAGCTGCAACGAGATACGCCAAAGCACGGGGCAAACACGCACTCAGGGCGCCAGCGCCAGCCTTAGCTACGACGCGCCCCCACCAGTCTTAAGCAGCGGGCACAGACAGGCTGCAGCTCGCGCCACGCGCCGCATGCACGCGCGCTCACCCGCCCAGCCCCGCCCGCCAGCTCGCTCTGCAGGAACCCGAAGGCTCGGCAGCGCGCGAGGGAGGGGCACCTGGGGCCCGAAGTCCCTAACCCGCTAGCAGCTACTTCCCAGACCCCTCAGCCCCTTCCGCCCCTCAACCCCGGGACGGAAGTCCAGATACTTTCCCTTCCACCTCTCAATGGGGAGGTGCCCAGCCCTCCCATCAATCACAGGCTGCGACGGGGACGACGAAGGAAACCGGAAGGGGGGGGAGTGAGCCCTCGGGTGGAAAGAAGGGGCGTCGGGGCGGCAGACGCGGGGCGCTACCTCCGCTGGAAGTCCCCGGCGTAGGGTTTCAGATAGGGGTCAATCTCCAGGAGACGGGACAGTCCTGGAACATCCGCCAAAGCAGCCGCCAACGCCGCCTCCGCGCCGCCCGCCGGAGCCGCCATCTTCCTGCTGCAGCCCCAAGCAGTTGAGGCCCGAGAGGGTCGAGTAGAGCTGGAGCCGAGACCCGGGGAGGGAGGAGTCAGAGTAGGAAGCTCTTCGCTGTCGGTAGCACCGACCCTGGGCTCTTTATACTTGGTGCCACTGGCCACTGACCCACCCCTTTCCCTCCTCCTCTACCCCTCCCCCCGAGGAGAGGGAGGGAGGGGCGAGCCCCTGATTGACCCGTGGGCTTCGGCCACGCGCGCTCGTCTGGGACCTGGCTGTGCACGCGGCGGGGCCGCACCAGGACCTGCCCAGGGGAGCCGCCGCGCCACCCCCAGGCAGAGCATCCTCACGTGACTGCCTCTGCCCAAAACCTTCATCCTGGGCCTCCACTGTGTGTCACCGAGCTTAGTTAGCACCCCTTTGGTGGCACAAACCTGGAAAAGTCTTTTTAAGTTATCTAGTGAGTTTTATAAGTTACTGGATTTTAAACGTGAAAGAGATCTTACAGATAATTTATTCCTTTCTAAAAAATTAGGATTAGAGAAAAGTAACTGAACAAGTCCCCGAGAGAGAAATGTTTTCCAGGTGATTTTTTTGGTTTGGTTTTGGTTTTTTGGTTTTTTGGTTTTACAGAGGATTCTCTTTTCTTCAAAAACGTTTAAGACTTCTTTGTAGTTTCAATGGGAGTTAAGACAGTTTTCTTAGCCTACTGGCCACCTGAATAGAAAAATATCAGATTTGTAATGCTGTTGTCTGCCAAATAAAATCACATGTTGTACATAATTTTATTATTTTTATTTTTTTACTGAGTGATTTAGGGAATGTTTCCTGATGCTCTGAATTTCAGAATATAAGTATTGTTCACTGTAATACTAAGAAGTAAATGGAAATGAAGCTCGAAATTAGCATTATTTCTCACAATCAATCATTTTTTGGTTTCTTTGTGAGTAGCTATGTGACTTCAAACAAAGCACTTTACTTCTTCAGTTTACTTTATCTGTAGCATGATGTAGTCTGGGTTGGTAGCTTGCTTGTGCCAATATCTAGCTAGTGGAAAGAATGTTTAACTTGGAGCAGGGGACACATCAGTTTGATTCCCGTCCCTGATTCATGGTAACTATATGACCCTGAGCAGTTTCCACATCCATAAATAAGAATAATACCGGCATTATTTGCATCACTGGGTTGTTGTGAGGTTCAAATGAGGTCATATATATAAATTGCAAATGGTCTGATTATTTAATAAATGTCAGCTAGTATACCCACTTTGAGCAAATCATTTCACCCCAGGTTCCTCACCTGTAAAATGAACTAAATGATCTCTAAGATGTCTTACAGATCTAAAATCCAATGACCTTAAAAGTAAAAGTTAGATTAGGGGACCACCTATGCCTTTCCTAGTCATAAAAAATTATAAAAGTTATGATATTTCAGGAAATATTACAGGGGCCTTCTGTTAAGCTTTTCCTCTGACTTTTTGCTCAGTATGGAAAATAGGTCTTAACAGCTGTAGTGTGAGAATTTATCATTTGGTTAGTCTGAGAGTTTATACAGCAATACAGTTTTTCCTCCCAATTTACTTTGTCTCTTCATTTTTGCTTCTTAGGACTTTGCTTTTCCAAAGTCAGGGAACAATTAGAAAAAAAGGAATCTTGGCAAAATGAAAAGATAAGTCGATTTAGGATCAAGATAAGAGTTCACATCCTACTTTTATCACCCTGGACCTAAGTTTCCTCAGCTGTAAAATTTGGGGGTTGGGAGGTGTGACTAGACCTCTAATGTCCATTCCATCTCTAAATCTTTGATGCTGTGAATGTCCCTGGACCTCTCAATGGGCACATCTCTGGTGAGTTTCTTTTCTTTCCAGAAATGCTACCTCAGTTCTGAAAGTGGAATTTACTCATGTATTCCTGGAACTTCTCAATCCAAGAATCTGCTATAATGTCCTCTCTTAATGTCCTTATTCTCTCTATCCAAAATTTACTCATTGCTTCTTTATTCATTGATCCCTGTAGGCCTACATTGTGTTCTGTCCTGTGCAAGATGCTGTAAAGTTTACAAAAGAAGAAAAAGTCAATCAAAGAACTAAGTCTCATTGAGAATATAAGAATAATGTATGTTAAAACTTTTTAAAAGAATTTAAGGAAGTTTACCAGCAAGGGCCATCAAAATGACTGAATAAGTTGTCATAACTAAGCCTAGCTCTCCATTAATGATCTCCAAACAACAGTTGTGCCAAATAAAACAGCCTAAAAAGGAGAAAAGGAAAAAAATTCATAAAAAAAACAGACTAAAGAAATAATTAAGCAAAAAAAGGGCCCAATTCTATTAATACAGAAAGAGTGGCAATATCACTTAGACCCAAATATGTGTGTATTATACATACATACAAACATTTTTGTAAAAATATATAAATAAATGTCTGTATATTATCATAGATTTAAAGCTGGAAGAGACCTCAGAGGCCATCTACTCTAACCCCCTCATTTTTTTTAAATGAAGAAACTGAGGCCCAATGATGTTAATTAATTTTACCAGGCTCACAGGTTAGTAGCAGAGTTGGGGTTTAATCCCAGGTCCTATGACATGACTGTAAGTTTAGCTTTTTCCAGTGTACTAGGTCTTTGGCAATTAAGTGGTACCTTTAGGTAAGTCAATAGAGCCTGTGAACAAAACAGATCCATGTGACGTTTATTGAAGGATCATCTTTACAGTAAACTTCAGTAGACCTGGAGATAAGATATGTTTCTGTGTCTCAAGGGGAGTCTTCACAGGGGAACTCTGCTTTTAGATAAATTTATACACATGCAACAACAAACATGGCTTCCCAGCTTTCTCTTCATATGCAGTAAACATCCTATATCTGTTGTCAATGATGCTACACAAGTTTGTTTTGCTTCCCAGGGATTTTAAGGTAGTGATGAGTGATGATGAAGTGTAATCCTTACCTCTGCTCCCAGGTGTGTTTTGAGGTCTTCTTGGGGACAGGGGCTATCTCACATTTGCATTTGTATCCTCAATGCCTAGCATAATATTTGTCACATAATAGGTGCCTAACAAATGTTTTTGGATTTATCTCTATTTTTAAAATAAATGTGTGTATTCATGAATTTCCTTTAATTCACTCCTTTGTTGGAATATAACAGTTTAATAGTGTCTTAAAGTTTTCTTTATTTCAGTTCTATTTGATGTGAATTTATTGTTCATTTTTCATTTTGGCAATTTGGTTTTCCTCTCCTTTTTGATGAAATTAAGCTAATACTTTATCAATTTTTAAAATCTATTTAAAAATTTTATTTTTATTTATAAGTTTTTATTTTCCATTTTCCTTAGATTTTTAAAATTTCTTCTTTTGTGCTTGTCATAGTGATTTGTTGATTTTCGACTTTTTAAAATTTCAGACCCAATCTTTTAATCCTCTTTTGTTTTCTTCATGTGTGCTTTCAAAGAAGTAAATTTTCATCTAGGGACTGCTTTAGCAACAATCCGTGTATTTTGCCATGCAGTTTCATTGTTCTAGATAGATGTAACTAGAATAGAGACCCAGATTCCAACATCTATAGGCATAAAGTTTCATTCTAACAGTTGTGTGGAGCCTGATACATGCCTCCTTGTCCTCTCTTAACCAGTAACCCAAGGCAATGAAGGAATGAGGTCACTGGCAGCAGAGATTGGGGGAGAAAAGATAAAAAAATATGCTGCCTCCTTTCACAGTACCTTGTGGGGATGGGAGGTGAAGACTGACACTGGGAAAGGGCAAAGGAGGGATATTGTTGCCAGAAGATTTGCAGGGAGTTGGGGGAGGAAAAGAAAGGGAGGGGTTCCTGTTCTTTCTCCTAAGACTGCATTCTTAGTTGTCTCCTCCTTTAGACTATGAGCTTCTTGAGGGAAGAATCTGGTTTTTTTTTCTATTTCTTTGTATTTTCAATGTTTAGCACATAATAAGTACTTAATAAATGCTTTTGGATTAAGTGATATAATTATTTGTTTCTATCATTTGTTCTTTGACCTACTCATTATGTATTCATTACTTAATCTCTGTATTTCCTTCACTGATTACGATTTTTTTTGATTTATGGCCACATAGTGCATTAATATTTGTGTTTGTCCACATTTATTCATGATTTCTCAATCCTGTTTTATTTCTATGCACATGATTGATTTTTGTAAAGGTTAGTTGTGATGCTGAGAAATAGCCATAACACTTTAGTAAGATACTCAGTATGCTAAGATAATGATAATTTTACTCCCTATCTAAAGATTCAGTTTTCTCTACATTTCTTTTGTTTTTGTTTTTTGCTTTTTGGTGAGGCCGTCAGGGTTAAGTGACTTGCTCAGTATCACACAGCTAGTAAATGTCAAGTGTCTGAGGCAGCATATGTACTCAGGTCCTTCTGACTCCAAGGCCACAGCTCAATCCACTGTGCCACCTAGTTGCCCCCATTTCTTTTAATGTATGAAACAAGATCAATGTTAAAAGATCATCTCTCTCTCTTTTTTTTTTAATCTCAAATAACGTCCCATCTATCAAAACTGGCCATTTTTCATGCTTCACTTCAACCAATGATATACTAGTCACCCCAGCAAAGTACCTTGATCACCCAACTTCTTTATTATGGTTCTGAAGCTCTGCAATGTTCTTAAATCTTACTTTGTATGTCTATCATTAAGCTATGAGAACACCTAATGATTTTTTTTTCTATTTTACTAGATCTCTAGATCCCATTCTTGCTTTCAATATGTTATTCTTAGCCAAGGTCTTTCTCTAGTGTTTAGATTAGCATTTGCTCTTGGTTAGATCACACTTTTCACATCCTATATTTCTATTTTATTATTTCTGCTTATATTAGTCCTCAACATAGGAACATGTCTTAAATCCCACACAGATTCCAAAATTTAATAACCCTGTAGCACTTTTACCAGACATTTCTGTACTTCCCAATGCTTTCACAGTTATAACTAAAGCAGTAACTTTAAATACTTTTCTGGGAGGTTACATTTCAATTTTTATTGAAATTTTAAAAACCTGAAGGTCAAACCATAAACTAGGAACAAGACTTCATTTAAAAATAGACTGCAAAGTGCTTTTAAAAGACTAGTATAATACTGGGTTAAATAAACAGAAGGAATTTTGAGGTTATATTTATTATTGATTTGGTTATCTCTTCATTATCAGTTCATTAGCTATTCAATAAATGGAATAATTTTAAAAGGTATAATGCTTTCATTATAGTATACCTAAAT